GAGCGTCCCTAGTTTATAAATATAGTTGTGCACGATGTGCATCTGCGTACGTCGGAATGACGTCTCGCAATCTTTATTCTCGGGTCGCAGAACATAGGGGCAGGAGTTGTAGAACTGGTAACTTACTGTCGCGCCCACCTCATTCGGCTGTGCGGGTTCACGCCGAGCAGTGCGATGTTCCAGTTTCTGACAGTGACTTCAAAGTTTTAGCTTCCAGTTCCGGTGTTTCTGATTTGCGCATTTTAGAATCATTGTATATTTTTAAACATAGGCCTAGTTTGAATTTAGCTTTTAGCTCTTACCCGCTTGAAATTGTAAATAGGTAGGTTTTGCAGCTTAGGATTTTCGTTGTATTCTTGACTTGTACTAATCACTGATTTATCTGTGTTCTAGAATTTTCGAACTGACGATGGAGCTGGACTCCGAAACGTTTTCTTTAAAGATACTATGAATTTTTGTGGAGTTTTCTTTGCTATTAAGTTTTTAGTGAATCTAAGTAATTATAAATCAATTTGAAGATGCTTCGAGTAATAGATTATAGTAGTAATTTTCCAATACTTGTTACGTACAGTTCAATCACTCACGAGGTATTTCACTTATCTATTTTTTACATTGAGAATCTTAGCTCTGTATGTCAACCACTTTACTTGAGCATCAACCTCGCTTTCAATCGTCGCCCGTGGATATCTGGCGACACATAAAACCTCACATCAACAACAAAGTCCAGAATATTTAACAAATTTCGCTCACCTTATCATTTACACGGAGATCCACGGCAGCTTCTTCACGTTCGCCTGCAGGTGCTGGATGCGGCAGACCCTTGAGCTGTTTGCCTGTACAGGCGTTCGCGGCCTGCGCTTTGGAAGAGGTGACGGCTGCGACGTAATGGTGCGCGCGGCCCCAGTCTCTGTCACTGCCCACAGCAGTCCACTCCAACACCACGTTACCTGTCGACGAGTTCACCCACGCCGTCAAGTCCGCGATCCTGTCAGAAAATAAAAGTCCGCGAATGAGGTGAGTGTGGATAATTGCCATAGAAAATCCTATTGATAACCACGCCGTCAAGTCTGCGATCCTGTCAGAAAATAAATATCCGTGATGAGGTGAGTGTGGATAATTTTCACAGAAAGTCCTATTGATTATTGTAAAGAGAAGAATGGAATTATGAGTAAATCCTATTGATAATTGGAAAGAGAAGCATGGAATTATGGGTAAATCCTATCCTATTCATAATTGTTAAGAGAAACATGGAAGTATGAGTAAATCCTATTGATAATTGTAAAGAGAAGCATGGGAGTATGAGTAAATCCTATTGTAATTGTAAAGAGAAGCATGGAAGTATGAGTAAATCCTATTGATAATTGTAAAGAGAAGCATGGAAGTATGAGTAAATCCTATTGATAATTGTAAAGAGAAACAGGAAAATACGAGTTAAATAAGATAAATATTCTCTCATGAGACGTGGATCACATGAGAGGTTATGATTGATTGTCAAAACAGTCTTCGAGAATGCGATCCTCGTAAGATTCGCGTTAATCAAATATAAGATGTGATCCTGCAATATAAGTGATGACAATAACTTTTTAATTATGAATGTTCGGTTTATTATTCTACGAATAATTATCATGCAGAGGTGAACATGAGATACTCTAATTTATTTTTTTTTTCTGAAAATTTTCGATTCCCATTCACTTCTGTAATGGGCATCGAAATATATTGCTATTGCCGATCTCTGAAATAATCGTACGATATAAGATAGTGAAAATAATTAGTACCAACAACTCACTATATAAGATACATGATTAATTAGTTACTTTTATCACCGTGATAATTGATTTTTCCATTATATTCCTGATTGTTGTTGTATTTCATCTAAAATCATATGTGAATAATGGTTCAACACATTTGCAACATTATGTAACTGTTTCCCTTCTTTTACTACAACGGATCGAAGCAAAGGAAATTTAGTTTATTACACGATGTTGGTCACGGAGATTGCGGGGCGCAGCTGGCATTAACCGGCGAAAAACAAACAGATTTTTTTAGTATTTTCTTGAGAATGAAAAATTCAGCTGGAAAATTGAGCAACTATTGAGGTCGTACATGTTGGAAATGCTGGCTTTATTTGGCAGACTGAGTGCATGTAGATTGGCAAGCTGGCGAGCCATTGAATTTCATGACAATATCATAAGGTTATATTAGAAGCGCTCACCAAGGGCTCTCTCATACACCTCCTGGCTTAGTTAATGGCCCAATTTAGGTCAGCAAACGCCCGGCCGGCAAGGCTAAATGACTACGACTCGTTACTGGCAAGCGCACCAACAACGCCAAAAGTCTCACGCTAAAACCTCCCTGACCAAGCTTTGGCTTAGAGACTCGTCGGAATATCTGGGCTGTCTTCTGCTTAAGAAAGTACACGGCCGAGGTGCCTTTATGGGTATACCAGTATGAGGGTGAAAGTAAAGAAATGCATATGGAGGTGAGACCAAATTTGAGAACATCAAGGTTTTTTCCTTTAGAAATACTGCAGTGAGCTGTCCTGCATTGTTTAGAATGATAGTAGTGGAAGCCTAATGAATTTTCTAGGTATCATTCCACTATAGAAAGTGAGTTAGTTATAAAATTATATCACAGAATATTACAAATATTTTCTGACTTAATGCAAGGACACAAAAATTATAAAGACGCTATATACAGCGGTGCTAAACATTTATTGTGGTGCATATATTTTTTTAGTATATATTATACTAAAAATAATATTTGACTAACTCAGTGTTAAAGGTAAACGTACCATTTAATGTGGAGAATAAAATTGGGTATGTATAATATTGGAAAAAATGTATTTTGTCTTTTTTTCATTAATTTTCATCGATGCTCTTTGGGTTTTAGCTTGGTGTTTTCAGAAAACATATGCCGTGAATTATTAATCAACCTTATTTTCTTCTAATTCTGTTTATGCTGCTATTAATTATGCAATTAATAGCAGCAACAATATTACGGAAAAACATGATGACAACTTTATGACTACGAAGCTAGAGTGAAGTCCAAATAGAAAGAGGTTCGTCGCTCTTGCGACGCAAGTAGAGGAAGAAATACGCTTGTAGACTGTTAGAAAAAATGGTGAAAAAACGGTCCCACTGGTGTTCTAGTGGCCGGTCGCCCCGTGAAAATAAACCGTTTCGCCGTTTTTATCAGATGTTTTACGGATTTCTAGTGTTTAATTAGAATAAAAACGGCGACACGGTGTTTCTTTTCGCGTGCCGACCGGCCACTGAAACGCCGATAATACCGTTAACGGTAATTTTTCTAACAGTGTAGAGTATGAACCAAACTTAGGACGAGCGAACTAATTGACATGCGTAATGCAAGTTGGGCGCATATGGTGCGCAAATAGAGCGGTAAGAGGTCGAGTAAAATTAGAACTTCATAATTGATAAGCACCTTGCATACGGTGCATGAATAGTGCGAGACGAGCTCAAGAAGAGCAGATAAATTCATTTTGAGCAAATTGTTCGAAGCAGTGCGAGCGACTACTCTTATGAGTAGAGAGAGTACCCCTACAAGTAGAGAGAGTACTCTTATAAGTAGAGCGAGTACCCCTATAAGTAGAAAGAATACTCCTATAAGTAGAGTGAGTACTCCTATAAGTAGAGAGAATACCCCTATAATTACGTAGAGAGAGTACCCCTATAAGTAGAGAAAGTACCCTTACAAATGGAGAGAGTACCTCTCTAAGTCGAACGAGTGCCCTTATAAGTAGAGCGAGTACCCCTCCCTCAGTAGAGCGAGTACCCCTCCCTCACAGTAGAGCGAGTAACCTGCTAAGTAGAGCAGTGTCATGATGTAGGTGCACGGTAGTCACGCACGCTGCACCGGCTAACGCCGCCTCTCAAGGTAATGACATGCCTCATAGGTATTATTGCGCAGCTCTAGTTTGTACATGTCTACAATATTCCTTTGCTCGATAAAAAAAATCTTCTTGATTGAGAACTCAAGTTCATTTGGAGTATTAAGCAATGAGGGAATTTTCAGTCTGGTATATACAGTAGATCAAAGCTATTAAAAGTTTTAGAAATGAAGTATTTAGCGCTCTGAAGACTATAATATGAATGATGGAAATGAAATTAGTAATGATTGTCAAGTTATCTGATACCTTCCATAAGTCATTAGATTAGAGAACAAGATGAGTTTAGTCGAAAAATTAGCAAGGAGACTCTAGGAAAGCCTTCTTATTGAACTGCCGTTTCAACAGTGGTTAATTTCTTTCGCTTGTAGAATGTCATCTAATTGTTAACTTGCTAGGAGGAAAGGAATGCAAATCTTCAAGCATCAACTGATTCGTAGATAAATTGTCGCTGCATTAAATTCGGCACGTTGTTCTGTAGACTGACGGGAGCTTGATCATTTTCTCAAATTTCAATTGAAACATCGAGACAAACACCCTATAAACCCAATTTGAAACACAATGAACGACGAATATTGATTCATTGTAAAAAAGTTATGATTCACTAACCATGAATTATTTTCAAAGTAATTTGCGTTATCACCAAAAGGTTGCTCCAATAATAAGTACATGAAGCACTTCTTAATAATGAGTGTGAGTGGGCGTACAATTGAGTACAATTTAGAAAAGAAAGGCCTAAGACTCTGATGATAGATCAGTGCAAGAAATGATAGCACACAGACTGCGGGGTAAATATACTGCGTGGGCCTTAGAGAAGTTTTACTGTCGTTACTGAATTGTGTATGTTTGTGACGCATTGAAGGCTGCGTATTCTACTTATGATGTGAATACATTATTGCAGCACTTATAATGTATTCACACTATGCTAATTCGATCCGTATTCCAGAATGCATTATTGCAGGAATTGAAGAGCAAATTTTGCCCATCTTGCAGAACACTTTATTTGAGGGTTTGGACAAAAATTTTGAACTATACTCCTGTAGAAAATTCAAACCTTCTGTTTGAAAAAATTAAATAAATTAAATATAAAATTCTGTTTGCTCTTTTCCTCCCAAGTTAATTAGCATATCAGAAGTACGAGTGTTAATAAGGATTTAGAACCAATTAGTTAATGGAACGGAATGAGAATTGATTGATGCGATTGCGTACATCGCCTGCCGAGTATGACCGTTATTTATGACTACCGATTAGCTTTGGCACAATATTACTCAAGGGAGTCTACGCGTTTAGGACTGACGCATCGACAACATTTTTTTATAAAGGCGACAGAATTCGACTTCGCGAAAAATCTTTCTGCATCAATTAGTGCAACTTTCTCGAAGCTCCCATTCAATACCGCTCTTGGACAGTTACTATTGAGATACCTTATTGAGTTAATTTTTAGAGCTGCCACTTAATTTTGCTCTTATACCGTTACTAGTCGGATGCCTTATTGAAGTTTACCATACACCAACGAATTCTTTCCATAGGCTACGAAATCTACGCACACCTCAACTTATCGAATTATTGTTCGTTTCGTATTCAAAGTACCACTATAAGGTGTAATTCTCTACTCATTTGTGAAGTGATCTTACCTTCCAGGAGCCACCACGTCCATGTCCTTCTGCTTGGGCTGCCAGACGTCGACGGTGGGTCCCGTGATGACCCTGGTGAAGGGGGGCGCCTGTCTGGTGTGAGCATACGGCACCACGGACCCGCAACACGGAGGAGAGGGCATACCCCAGCCCTTCTCCAGGTCAGGCATAGGGTCAACGTCGTCTGCGTGGAGATGCTCGTTCGAGTAGAACGAGTGGAGTGATGATGAAGACCATTCTGACGCATACGGCTCCTAGGTAAGAGTGTATCAACAGTTAAAAACTTCTGAGTGGGGCAAACAAGTGGCATGGAAATCCTTTAAGCTGATTACTATTTGATTACATAATGTATGAAAATGTTAAAGCGTACGGCTCCTAAGTAAGAGTGTATCAACAGTTGACTCTGATGCGTATGGCTCCTATAAATAAGAGTGTATCAACAGTTGACTCTGATGCGTACGGCTCCTATAAGTAAGAGTGTATCAACAGTTGACTCTGATGCGTACGGCTCCTATAAG